ATATTATTGTTGAACCAACTTGACCCAGCGTCTTTGTGTCCAGACCAGCCGTGCCCGGGTTCCTGCCTCCCAGCGTCAACAGCACCTTTTAATAATAAACTTGTTAAATTGCTGTGTGTGTTCGGTTCTCATTCAGAGTTCAAAAACCCATTCATAACACAAAATGGGTAGTCTTAGAAAAACGATCAACTATAGTGAGGATAACTGTATTACCTCCGGATGGTGGGAGTCCAGTAATGAAATCCAGGGCGATGTGTGACCATGGTCTTCCTGGGATGGGTAGAGGATGAAGGAGTCCAGCAGGGGGTCTGTGAGTATTTTTATACTGGGCACAAATAGAACATGCTGAAACAAACTTTTTAACATCCTGATAAAGAGTAGGCCACCAGAAATGTCTCTTGGTTAAGGTAAGCATTCTATTAATCCCAGGGTGACAAGAGAACTTAGCCGTATGCAGCCATGTTAGCACTTTGGTCCTCATGGTAGAGGGAACAAACAGACTATTTTGAGGACCAGTACCTGGATCGGGTTCAGTAAGTTGAGTGGCACGAACCTCCTCTTCAATCTCCCAGCGCATGGCTCCGATGGTAACAGATGATGGTAGAATTCTCTCCTCAGACTTGGAACTGTTGGAAAGTGAGAACTGTCGGGATAATGATTCAGGCTTAATATTCTTAGAACCAGGCTTATAGGTGATGGTGGAATTGAACTGTGAAAAAAAAAGTGACCAACGAGTTTGACGGGGATTTATTCTTTTAGCTTGTTGGAGATAAGTGAGGTTCTCATGGTCAGTTTAAATGACAAAAGGAACCTCAGCACCCTCCAACCAGTGCCTCCACTCTTCAAGTGCCATTTTAATGGCTAAGAGTTCTTTGTTACCCACATCATAGTTGGCTTCAGCTGGAGATAGATGACGAGAAAAAAAGCACATGGATGGTTCTTATTATCCTCAATAGATCTCTGGGAAAGAACTGCACCAACTCCAGAGTCCGATGCATCGACTTCGACAATAAACTGTCRGTTGGGATCTGGGTGAATGAGTATGGGAGCCGAGGTAAACAATCTTTAAAGCTCACCAAAAGCATCCTCAGCACTGGAGTCCCATACAAATCTCTGGAGTATGGAGGTGAGTCTAGTCAGGGGGGCTGCAACACGTCTGTAGTTGCGAATGAAACGTCTGCAAAAATTTGCAAAACCCAAAAAACGTTGAAGCTGTTTTCTATCCTTTGGTGTAGGCCATTCTTCCACAGCTTTTACCTTCTTAGGGTCGGTCCTCACCTGCCCTCTCTCAAATATCAGTCCCAAAACGTTTATAGAAGAAACTCCAAATTCACACTTTTCTGCCTTGACGAAAAGTTGATTTTCCATGAGGCGTTGGAGAACAGTCCGCACATGCTGTTGGTGCTGCTGGGGGGTCCTGAGAAAAAATCAGAATGTTGTCCAGGTATACAAAAATGAAGTCATTCAGAAAGTCTCTTTAAGACATCATTCACCAAAGCCTGGAATACAGCAGGGGCATTGGTGAGGCCAAATGGCATAACTAGGTACTCAAAATGGCCTAGTGGGGTCCGAAAAGCTGTTTCCCATTCATCCCCTTCTCGAATGCGTACCAGATGGTAGGCTTTGCATAGGTCAAGCTTAGAAAAAATGGTGGCTCCCTGGAGTTGTTCATACACAGAATTGATCAGAGGAAGGGGATACTTGTTCTTAATCGTGATCTTGTTTAAACCTCTGTAATCAATACATGGCCGTGAGGACCCATCTTTCTTTGAACCAAAAAAACCCCTGCTCCACCAGGGGAAGTGGATGGTCTGATACCAGAGGCCAAAGATGATTCTATATACTCATGCATCGACTCTCTCTCCGGGCCAGAACTATCTGCTGGAAGGAAGTGGAGCCCCTGGGAGGAGGTCGATGGCGCAGTCATAAGGCCTGTGAAGGGGCAAAGAAAGAGCCTTATCTTTGCTAAAAACAGGAGCCAGGTCATAATAACAGGTGGGAATGGAGGACAGATCAATATTTTCACAAGGGGTTGTTGGAGAAACAGGTGATACTGCGGCCTTTAAACACTGACTAGAACAGAACTCACTCCATCTCAATGTGACCTTTACTCCAGTTGATGGTGGGGTTATGTTTACAGAGCAATGGAAACCCCAGAATGATTTGAGGTCTTGCAGAATGGAACACAAAAAACTCACCCAGTTCGTGGTGGTTACCAGAAATGACAATATGGAGTTGTGAGACCTTGTGGGAGATGGAAGAGATGTGTTTTCCGGTGAGGGCAGCCATGGATATGRGGTGTGGAAGCTCTTCAGGGGAAATAGACAGTTGATCCACCAGGTTCCAGTTGATCAATGATTGTTTAGCACCTAAATCTATTAAAATATCAACAGGTAGGTTAAGGTTTTTGACACAAATCATAGCAGGTAAAGTTAAAGAATTCTCAGGAGATGAAGAGGCTACACCCACCAGTATCTCCTGTCCTGATGGGTATGGCCTTTTGGCCGTACTGGGCATGTAGCAATGAGATGYCCTTTCTTGCCACAGTATAAACATTCTCCAGCTTTAAATCGGCGTTGTCTCTCTTCAGGAGAGAAACGGGCACGGCCGATTTGCATTGGTTCTGATTCAGAATTAGATGCAGGAATGGAACTTACGGGATTGTTTACGGGTACAGTAACTGAAGGAGGACCGGAAACCCAGGAATTCTGAGAGCTGTGGTTCCTTTCTCGTCTTCGCTCATGRAGGCGGTTATCGATACGAATAGCAAGGTTTATTAATTCATTCAAGTTTTCAGGTTTGTCTCTAGTGGAGAGTTGATCTTTTATTTTGTCAGAAAGTGCATTAGAAAAAATACCTCAGAGGGCGGGCTTGTCCCATCTTGTCTCCTGTGCAGCAATGCGGAAGTGAATGGAAAACTCCGCAACAGACTGGTTTCCTTGTCGAAGCGAAAAGAGCCTTTTAGCTGCTGTTTCCTGGTGGAGAGGATGGTCAAAAACAAGTTGAAAATCTCTCATGAAATTGTCAAATGGAATCTGATCTATGTTTCTATCTCGGAAGTATGCATGAGCCCAACGGAGTGCATCTCCCTGGAGTGCGGAGATGATGAAGGTAATGCGGGCAGAATCTGATGTAAACATTACGGGACATCTGTTAAATGCCARKGAACATTGTAATGAAAACCCCCCGAATTGATCAGGGTTACMATCGAAAAACTGGCTCGGCTTGATATTCGGCTCTCTGGAGGAAACTGGTGGTGGTGGTGAAGACGTGATAACTGCAGAAGGAGGAGCCACAGGACTGGGAGACAACAAGGTATTCATCTTTTTATCAAGAGAAAAAATCATACCTCCTAATTTATCCATATTGGAGGAGAGAGTCTTTTGTTGTTCTAGAACCTGTTGCAAACTTTGGTCATTCTTAGATATTCGTCTATCTTGGACAGCTAAAGACTGTAAGACCTATTCCCCTCAGTTAAGTTTGGAGTACTCACAATGGCTGGATTATTCTGTTAAGATTTGTTCTTTTAAAGAGTACCCAAAATTAACTTAACTGGTGAGGAACACAGGACAACACAAAAAATGATAAAAGGTAAGTGAGTTTATTGTACAGTGACTGGGTCCAAGTTTCTTGAGGATCCAGGCGAGGAGGCTGACCAGGATGAGGAGGTTTGTCGAAGTTTTCTTTGTTGGGAATCAAACACAGGTACTTTCCAATATGTTTCTTGCAGCTTTCAGAGAGAGAGAGAGGCAGGGCGGAGGACGATGAATCACTTCAGTCTTGAAGTGAAAAATCCAACAGTCTGGATAAGGACCAACTGTGGAGTCACCAGGGGGATCAGGACAGTCCAGCCTGAACACAAGGTAGGTGTAGAAACAAAAATACAACAAGGGTTAATCAGTTATCTCAAAGAATTAAACTGAGGCCGTCTTAAACAGTACCATGGGCAACTGAATAATCCAGCGTCGGATGGATCTCAGAAGGCGACTGAAATACTCTCAGGATTAATCAGAGCAGACAATGCACAGGTGAGTCCATCCAGTCTCCGCCCACCGAACTCTCAATGAACTGCAAAACAATTAGTCAGGAAACAGCAGCAGCAAACCTCCAGAGGACCTTAACCCAATAGAGCTTTTAACCTCCTCAAGCGACAACTGAAGGGAGAAACCCTCCAAAACAAATAAGAAGTGAAAGAAGCTGCGGTAAAAGTCTGGAACTGCATCACTAATGAAGAATGCAACAGTTTGGTGATGTCAATGCGCCGCAGGATTGAGGCAGTCGCTGCAAGCAAGGGTTGTGCCACCAAATATTAAATGTTATTTACTTTAAGAGTTTTTTATTCCATTACTTTTGCTCACCTAAAAAATCCCGTGGTGTAATACGAAAGGTGATATATCCTAAGTTGTTTAACACATCTACATGTAAATACCAGGAAATAAAAGCTGAACTCTTGTCTCATGCTCATCCTTTGATCTTAAACTCAAATGTCTTCAGTGCACAACAAAAAGAATGGAATTTGACTTGCTGTTCCAATATTTTTGGAGGGGACTTGTAACTACTAACATATTATTCAACCTGCAACTCATTCAGCAGCAGAGTCAAAATACTGCTACATTAGGAAAAATGTCAAAACTCTAATTACCTTATTAGACATCCATCTCATTCTGAGTCATTGCAAATTGAAATGTACATCTAAAGCAGTAATACACAACAATGTTGCTAACTGCACTTTGTCCACAATTAGACAATGTTTTATGCTTAGAATTTCAAAGAAATCCACCCAAGTGTCTCTAAAGAACTGTTATGACAAAAAAATGCCTTAATCTCAAAGATCAGCACTGCTAGCACCACACATTTAACTAGAAGCACTCAGAGAGTGCAAGCCTCCGCCAAGACCAATTTCCCCCATCCTGTAAGAGTTAATGTGCAAAAGCAGAGATGGAAACACATTTGCCGAATAAGTTCTGACGTAGCGAACATTTAAGCAGGCAGTATGCACGGGATTTCTTCCCGGTGGAGACCAATGTGAAAAAAAAAAGAAAGTCAGATTCGTCACCCAACGTTATTCATCGTCAAACTGGTGTGGGATTAAGCTCCTAAGTTTTCATCAGTCACATTTCACTGTGCAAAACATCTGTTTTATCCCCTTGTATGAGTTTGTAATGGTTTGACTCTCTTTATAAAGTGCTTCTTGCCCCCCCCCCCATCTCCAAACTTTGAGGCCCGGCCAGAAGCTCTCTGTTTACAAGACTAGTAGTGAGAAACTGTTTTGAGTGGTTGTTTTGGAAATGTGGTGTGTTTGAGGAAATGGGAAAAATAGGTTTCATGGTGCAGTCACGCACTCCCTGGTCAGAAAATGTTCTCTAAATGCGCATCAAATGCGTAAAAATGCACACATTATGGCAAAATTTATTCATCATTAAATCTGGTTTTGACATTACTTTTATAAATTTTGAAGTCTGTGCTGTTCAGTCCAGTTCAAATGAACACTGAAAGCTCTTACTGTTTTTTACAGAAGCCCTGTGAAAGCATCACAGCTTTGCCGATCTCAGAGTGTTAAAAGAAAAAAATTCCTGTATCCGCATCGTGATCCAGAACATCACCAATATTGAAAAGTGTGTTACGGCCAGTACCCACAAGTGGTAAAAATGTCATGACAATCCGTCCACAAGTATTTGAGTAATGTTGTCCACAGACAGATTGACAGACAGACGGACATA